CTGTGCACTTTATCTGTTTCACTGGGGGTTAATGATCTCTGGTGTGCATGTGAAATATTGACATTAAAGCTGACTTTGACTTTGACAGTCACATCTAAGAGGATCAGACTGAAAAAACACTGCACACTGAACTGCACAATCAGTTTGTGTTTGGCAATGAGGTATCATCTCTGGTTACTAGAGCTGAAGCCACTGGAGTCTGAACAGTGTGCACATTCTACTTCATCCAGTCTGTCCCACCTGCCAGGTAGCTGCTCTATTAAGTTGAAGCAGTCAGTAGCTGAATTGGAAAACTGGTATTTTGGATGAAAGTCTAGCACTACCACTGCCAGGTGGTTCAGTTCTTTTATTATTCTTGCTCAAATGTTAAACACATAAAAATCATGTTCAACCATTCAGATTTTTTGCAGGGGAATGAATAAATGTTTTGCGGCAACACTTGGCGGGTTAAAATCTTTCTAACAATTCCAATATCCACTGGTCGTGGACTTCCTCCCTCTAATACGAAACAACATGTACACCCCAACACAGACACTTATTAAAACAACTGCTAATGTTCTCAAAAAGTTTATGGGAACTACAGATATGGGAAATTCTAGTTCTAACACATTTGATACCAAGACATTCAATCACCCACACTCAGGAAAGAAGCATGACATAAAAGAACTCTCTCCACTCACGTCCTTTATGTTTTGAAATGCCCATGTGGCTTAATGTATGTGGGCCAAACTAAATGTAATCTTAAACTAAGAGTTGCCGCGCATAAGGCGGCCATTAGGAATGGTAACATGGATTATACCATTGCTCGGCACTATAGGGAGAAAAACCATGGTTCAGCCACTTCCCTCAAATTCATTGCTGTTAAAAGAGTGTCACCCAATCCAAGAGGGGGTAATTTGATTAACCAGCTCTTAGGAAGGGAGGCTTTTTGTATTTATGAACTGAACACAATTGAACCTTATGGACTCAATGTTTTTTGTGACATTAATTTCATGTTATATCTCTCTATACAGGTCATTTGGAGATGAGGCACTAGGTCCCCTGGCCTTTCCATTTAGTGGTGTACAGGGACAGTGGTAGGACCCACAGGATATTCCAGCTTAACAGTTACGATACAATACCACATACAGGTATGTCGTGTTGTATGTAATGTGTAATTCTTTTGATTCTGTTAGATTAACATTTTGAAATGAAAAATTAAGACTGTGATGGGACATGACTGGTCATGTGACCCAGATGCGGCCTATTTGGCACACCTGCGAGTGCTCATGCAATTTTGTTGAGCGAAGCTGAGGAAGCTACAAGCGAAACGCGTTGCTCGCTCTTTACAGTAACATTGTAGGCAGACATATGCATGAATGTCTGGACACTAACCTGGTCGAGGAACCGGCTGTAGCGCTGGGGTCTGGGCCTTCCGAGCAGATGCTCCTTCCTGGAAAACACAACACCCAAGGGTCATATTCATAAACATACATCTTTAAATGTACAGTATGTGATTTCTGCCATCAAGGGTCTTAGTAAGTGTGCAAATGTAAACAAAGCATCTTTCTTTCCCAGTAAATATCTTCAATCGATTAACTACCTCTAACAAGTCCTACATTTCTTCCTTTCCTACATTTCATAAAGCATGTATTCTGTATATTATATTATCCTGTTGAAGATGCAGCTTAATTAACTAGTGGACAATCTGCCCCTCATTCTGCCCCATAAATAATATACATAAAAGATATATAAAAACAAATTATATATAGAATATAAATATATTATTTTGTTTATGTTTGTCTAACCATCTTTTAACAAGATTAAATTTAAGCATATATAGACATTTTATTATTTTGTGCTCTGATAATCCCTGCACCATAAACTAATACGATACTACGATACAATACTATGAAAAGTCTTACCGGGGCAGTCTCAAAATGACAATGCCTGAATATAAACCTTCGGGCATTGTAGACCCCCACGCTGAATGAGTGCACAAACATTGTTGTAAATAGTGTTCTAATCATTATCCAGTACAAGAGATTGGCAGGAGACACATTAAAAGACACTGTGCACTGTCCATCAAATAAGAAATCATTGCAAATTTGTTCAATGAAGCAATACGCAAGATTTGCGGAAGTGGCGACATGAAGGCTTCTCTCCCCTCTCCCCTCTCCTCTTACTTGACAGCACGCCAAACAGACATAATGCTTATTCCTCTTTCCAGAGAGTGGGCGTGAATACAAATAGGTCAGCAGCCCAACCCCCCTCCCCTTTAACAGAGCAGGCAGCAACAGCAGCAGAGACGGCATGACGTGGTGGGAGAGCGTACTGCTACCAAGCCTGAAGCTGCCTCTCAGAACGAACACACAACTCATAGCGCTACCTCCTGTTCATCTTCCTCCTCCTCCTCCCCCCACTCCCACCCCTCTAGCCCTCTTACAGATAACACGACAGCACAGAGCAGAATGCAAGGGGCTGCTAAATGAGGAGGGTGAGAGAAGAAACAAAAAAAAGGACAGCGAAGCACATGGGGGGAGAGAAGTTAACATGACAGCATGTGAATCGAAGAGGAAGAGCGAGAAGAAACGGGAATCAGCACAGAAATACAGAGGGATGCAAATCTTATGCATCATCAGTAATGAACCCCATCTTTCAACTTCTGCTTTGATATACACAATACGAAAAGCAAAGACAATTAGAGGACCCAGGACTGCAGCTCTCTACTCCCTCTGGCCAAAAGCAGCAGCAGCATAGCACCGTTAGCATCAAGCCTCTGGGGACAATGCGCAAAGGCAGAGGGGGAACCTACATTTAAACGGGTGAGTTTATGCTGTGAAGGCTTAAAATGCAAACACACACATTAGCACAATGCTACAATAAGGAAATATTTCATGCTGCAAAACTGATCTGTTTTAATGTACTACACAGGATGTAAAGGGTGTGCCTTTACAAGTGAAACACTCGTTTTCAGTTGATGCGTGCAAGAAAGCCAACAGAAGTCTTTCAGTGCTTCTGTGAGCTCTCACAAACTACTCTTTGTCTTGTTGGGGTCCTTTAAGAGGGTAGTGTGTAATTCAGTAAAAAACAGAGAACACACTCCACTTCAGGGTGCTAGCAGCCCGCAAACATAGGCTGTTCTTTCAAAAACCATTCCTAATCCACATAGTGCTCAAAAGCAAAAAACTGTGAGTTGAGAAAGCAGAACTGATTATTTGTGTTGCGTAAGGAACATAAGAGCCCTTTAACCAAATGACTGAAGATTACGCAGCTTTAATCAAAATTCAGTGAACAGTTAGTCATGCTGTGCATGTGACTGTAGCGGTTAGACACTACCAACTGAAAACAAGAATAAGATGTATTTTTAGAATATAAAATGTATACTTAATGAAACCACTACAAAGGGGAAAACTTTTGTGCAGAATACACAAACCCTAAATTCATTACACAATCACCTTCATTTTCTTTACTTATCCTAACACCACAGGAGGTAACAAAGACTGTGGGAGACATTTCAACTAAAGACTAGCATCATAAAACATTAAGAGATTTTTAAAAACACCTGGAGGCAGGGAAAATGAGCTATGAACAACAGTGACCTTTTACTTTTCATGTCAAACGTGCTGGCAAACAGCTGCTTCTTTACACATCCAGCAGTTACTAAGCAATATTATCATTCATTTGGAGATGTGCCTCTGGCCACCTGACGGATGTAAGTCTGATATTCACTTTAATTTTAGCTCTGTCTTGGTTTACGCCATTGTCTGGAAAATATCTAAAATTCACCAGCCAGTTGCAAATTTTGTTTGTCCTTGGTTTGGTGCAGCTAGCGTGCAGTGGTGGATGCGTAAAGATTAGTAAGAGTGAACCACAACCAAAAAAATTAGCTGAAAGACGATGAACACTCTACAGAGGTGAGGGAACTTCAGAGTTGTGTAATATTTCTCTACAAAAGACAAAGAAAGTGCCACCTTTCACATACATGTAGTTATCTATCTGTTGTGATTATAGCAGCTTTAATGTTACATGCTTAACTTGTCTTATCTTATTACTCTCCTCTGTCTCCTAGGCAATCACTAGAGATGCAACGTTAGGGTGGACTCACACCTTACAGCTGTCTTGTCCGACCAAAACCTAGTGATTAGCATATATGGGAAGGAGATCTCAACATTGAGTCAAAGTCAGCTAGACAATCCATCATACACTCCACTTTGCTTTCATGGATCACGCTTTTTCAGAAGCAGCTGACAACTGGCCTTACAATGACAACTTTCTGGCTGAATTAGTCCTGCACTAACCATGCAGTGGAAACGACGTCACTGCTGTACACACACAGCTAAACTTTTATATCTCCTCTCACTGTTGGGTGTACTGGTCTTTCTGGTCCACCAGGTGTGGCTGCCTAGGGTCACAGGTGTGCCATGGTTGAGACGCCATCCCGTGGTGTACGGGGGTGGTGAACGTCATGCTACCAAAGCCAAGTGGAACGTCAGTGCTCAACATTCAGCGTGGAGGTTTGTCACTGTTCCTCAGCCGACTTTCAAGGCTGATGCCAACAACAACTCCCATGAGAAGGAGAGTGTCTCCTCTTCTCCAGGTGATCCAAGTTTTGAGAACACTTTGGCAGCCAATGTAGAGGGAGAACTTAGTGGCCCTATAACCCATGGGCCTTTCACTTATATCATCAATGAGCCAGACAAATGTGCAGAGAGCAGACCTGTACCATTTCTAGTGCTGCTGATAGCCACTGAAGCTCGGCAGGTGGAGGCAAGAAATGCCATACGGCAGACATGGGGGAATGAGAGTGTGGCTCCGGCTCTGGGATTCATCCGGCTGTTTCTGCTGGGGAAAAATGAGGGAGAGCTGGGACTTTTACAGCAGAGAATGCTAGAAGCTGAAAGTCGGAGATATCACGATATAATTCAGCAAGATTTTATGGATTCCTATAAAAACCTGACCATTAAGACATTGATGGGAATGAACTGGGTGGCAATTCACTGCCCGCAAGCCAGCTATGTCATGAAGACTGACAGCGACATGTTCGTCAACACAGAGTATCTCATTTACAAGCTGCTCAGGCCAGAAACTAAGCCTAGGAAGAACTACTTCACCGGAAATAACATGAGAGGCTTTGCACCCAACCGAAACAAAAACAGCAAGTGGTACATGCCCCCTGAGCTGTACCCAAGTGACAAGTATCCCACCTTCTGCTCTGGGACTGGTTACGTCTTCTCTGGAGACTTGGCGAGGAACATCTATCGAGCATCGCTAAGTATCCCTCACTTGCATCTGGAAGATGTGTATGTGGGGATATGCCTGGCCAAGCTCCAGATCGAGCCCACTCCTCCATCCAATGAGTTCCTATTCAACCACTGGCGGGTGTCTTATTCCAGCTGCAAGTACAGCCATCTGATAACGTCACATGGGTTTCATCCCAATGAACTACTGAAATACTGGCATCACCTGCAGAGCAACAAACTCAATGCCTGCATCAACACAATGAGGGTGAGAGCAGGCAGGACACACACACACAGAATGAAAGAGAAACCCGCTTGATAACTGAAAATGTTAAAAAAAAACTCAGCACATGCTCTTCTTGACTTGATATCAAGGGATTAATAAAACTTTGGGGATATGGGAACTGAATAGAAATTCTGCATAGATGTGTAAACACGAATGATGTGCTCTAAATGATTGCCAATTTTGTACAAAAGAGATAAATGTTTTTTGCGAGTGAAATTACTAGAGATGTTATGTACATGGTATATTTACAAGAATAAGTTTGACTTGTGCAAAATCTATTTTTTGCAATAAGGTAAGATCTACTGTATGTATTTTATAAATGCAAAGTGCACAGGGTACAGTGCCAATAAAATATTTCCACATGTGCATCAAATAGTCAATGAAGTAATTTCAAAAGAAGTTGACTTCAGCTATATGAGATTGAGATTGTTTCAGAATGAGAACCTCTATGGGAACAGACACTTTTTATGTATCAAACTAATACAATATTTGTGTTTGGAAATTACATTTGAGGACATAATTTAGCACAAAAGTTCCCCTTATTACAGAAATGGGGTACTGTGAGGTGAGGTACAAATAAATCTTCAAAAAAATGGTAAGCACCTAAGTTACATGATGAAACATGATTTTAAATGATGCACCTCAAAGGATAGCGTTAGAAAAATCTCTGTTACGTGGTTCATGCTGATTCTCTTTCAGATGATTATCCAAAATTAACTTTTTTTTAAACACTAGCCAGGTGGAAAGATAAATTAAAAAAAATATAGTACATATAATTGATTACAAATATAGGTCTAATCCATATTAAATACTAGACTCTGTAGTTTCACTCAATGTCCCACTTACAGCACTGTTTGGTTCAGTGTTTTGCATTAATTACCCTAGACCATGAAAAAATATCAGGAGTAAAAAACCTGATCATGTAATTTAAATGCAACATCCAAGCACTGCCTAGTAGCTAAGAATGTGAAGAGAAGAAATCCCATGTTTCCCATTAATTACCGAGATTATGATTCAATTTCCCCCGCCATAGCTTTATAATAAACAGAAAATATTTCTACACTGCTCTCTAACTTTGGGTTTTGCATCGTTGCCTCAGCAAAGCATCTCTCCCTCACTGTACAAGTATCCACGGTAGGGGTGGGTAAAAATATCGATACGGCAATATATCGCGATACTTTGCCGCCCGATACAATAT